CGCACAGCCGTGAGAAAAACAATAAATTAATAATTATTTAATAAACGGGACTAAGCCGAAAAGAAAATGAATAATTGAATGTTAATACATCACATACTTTATACATATCCAAAATGCTTTGGCAATACTATACTAAATGTCATGCCAATAAAAGCAACTTTAGAGAGAGAGCAGCCTTTACCTGTCAGTGGGTGCACGTGGCTCCTAAATATAAAAGTAAGAGAAATAGTGGATTTCTTTTATTTCAACAGCCTTTTTTAAATAGGTTTACCCCACTGAAGAAAAGGTGTATAACAGTGTTATAATTAATAAAAAGTAAAAAAAAATCACTTTATTTATTATTTGGTACATGCAGTCGACCATTTATGTGCCGAGTGTAAAAGGTGTGTTTCAATCCAGCCACCACCGCAATTATAGTTTAAATCTTTGGGAAGCACTGTTTAAGTATCTGTTTTGATATATATATATATATATATATATATATATATATATATGATTATGATCTTTGGGCAGAGCTTAGTAAAACTTTTATAACTTTTTTAAAAACATTTTTAAACACACTATTCTGATGACACAGGAGCTGCTAATATGGCAGCTGAGATGGCAATTCTTTGTGTTCTGTTAAAAAACCTTAAGAAATTGGTATAAATATGTGTTCATTACAGTGAAATATGCTCAAAGTTACAGTGACAACACTTGCCATCAAGAATAAAGAAGAACAGATCCATTGTGTGAGATGTCTTATTAATACTGCATGGTTTCTATGCATGATGCTGCTGATATTTTTGACACATGATTTAAATGGATATTTTTGACACACCCACCCAACAAGAAAACATGTATGTCAAACCCTGTTGCCAGGAAACATCTTGTTCAACCTGGGAAACAGCAAAAAGTTGCACACTGGTTTGACTTTCTAATTGGCCTAATGTTCTATACAACATCATAAGTTATGCAGTTTTGTTGCAATAAATCTGCTAATAAACTGTAAAAAAAAAATAAAAAATAAATAAAAACATGAATCTACAAAAGCATAGATAATTGATTAACAAGTGCAGAGTTCACAACAGGTCTGTCTTTAAAGGTTTATCAGTAAAAAAAAATAGGACCTAACTTGAACCTAACTGCTGCAACCATGAAGTCCTTAAATAATAATTGTTTTAAACAACAAAACAAATACATTTTTTAAGCACCAAAAGAAAATATTACATACATTTCTGTAGGATTATGTCACACTGAAGACTAGACTAATGTCTGCTGAGAACTTTTTTTAAAGTCTTTTTTGGGGGTTAATATATGAAGAGTTCATTCATTCGTTCATTCATTCATTTTCCTTCGGCTTAGTCCCTTTATTCATCAGGTCACGCCACAGCTGACCGAACCGCCAACTTATCCAGCATTTATTTTTACACAGCAGATACCCTTCCAGATGCAACCCATTATTGGGAAACACCAATACACACTCATTCACACACATACACTACGGTCAATTTAGTATTTTTAATTCAACTATACCATGTCTTTACAGCATTTGGAGCACCCAGAGGAAACCCACACGAACACAGGTAGAACATGCCAACTCCACAGCTGACCCAGTCAGGACTCGAATCAGCGACCTTCTTGCTGTGAGGTGACAGTGTTAACCACTGAGCCACCATGCCACCCGTATATGAAGAGTTCAGATACAAGTTCCATCAGAAAAGTTCGACTAAAATTAAAAAAATTTTCTGCTTCCCATGCCAAAGAACCTATTCATTGGCATAAAAGTGAAATGACTGAAGCTGCACACATAAGTCTGGAAGAAAGAAAGAAAGAAAATGCTTATTTTAAGAAAAAGAAAACTTCAGATGGCACCTCAGAGGCTTTTGCATCAGAACTCTTCATACAGTATAGACATTTCTAAAATGTATAAGTCACCCTTTTTGAATATGCATGAACTTCCTGAGCACCAAACCAACTGAGAAGTAAAGCGGAATCAGATATAACCGGTGTGCAGTAGTAGATCCACGACTACAGTAAACGCATTGCAGGGGGGGAAAGCGGAGAGCTTTGAAAGAAGAGGGAAACGCTCAATCAATAGGCCCACACAGTATCGATGACCCCTTTTGTTCAGCTTCGTCTCTCCCTCACACCTGCTCTAATTGGCCTCTTCACATTGTTCAAGAGCATCAAGCTCAAAGCAGCCCCATGCATTGAATTACACAGCAAATCTACACCATGCACGCAAATAAACAACGAATAACAATGAGGAAAAATAATGCTAAACAGATCTAAAAAAATCTTATTGCATATATGAATTCTGTCAGTGGACGGGAATGTGTTGTTGATACAGGCATCAACCAAACTGTAGTTGAAACTCAGTCACAGAAGCTTATACGAGTTGTGAACCATAGAGTAGTGTTCAAATACCCCATATGCATTTGTTTAAGTTTTCAACTAAACATGGAAGAAATACTACAAGCATATTGGGGCATGTAAACTTTTGAAACCAATCACTTAGTGATCATTTTTTGAAAATGATACAGTTATTGTCTCAACTAATGTGCACATGTACATGGGCAGTTTTATAAACAGAATTTTACCCCTTTCGTTATCGAAAAAGTTTACATTCACAAGACAATGCAAAAACGTACAGTGATGAATGTTAAAGGCAAACCGCACCAACAGACGGAGATAATGGCACTATAGAGGCCAATTATGTTCCAAAAACGTGCAGCACACCGCAATGCCTTTTTATCAACCCAAGCTCAATCTGAAAACATACCTCTTTATACATTTTTGGAGACCGCGTCCTATAATACGTCCTAGGAGGTAATTAAAAATTTTTTTTTGCAGTTTTTGTTTTCCTGAATCTACGAAAGGCCGCTGTTTATACTTTTTGAGATCTCAAATTTCTCTCGCGAGTGCCATTCACACCTGTTGTTCTCACGTAAATCCACCAGAGGTCGCTGTTGACTGACTGACCAATCAATTGACTGACTCTTGTCTCCCAATTTTGTTAATTGACCCATATCATAATTGAGCATATCTAAGTGGGAACTCTTGAAACAGTAAGCACTAGTCTATCCTCTATCTTTAAAACAGATAACCGATGCACAGATAACCAATGCACATAAACAGTCTCTTCTTCTGCTCAGTACAAAACTACATTCCCCATACAAGTTTGCACAACTTTTTTTTTAAATTTTTTTCTGCACAAATTAAGAACCACTATACATTGTTTACATCTGTTTCATTACTCCAAAATCAGTTTTATATATTGTTTACTTTCATAGATATTTATATACTTACATTTTATAATCATACTTCAGTCACTTCTGATGTGTTCAGTATGATGTGTATGTTGTGTGTTTGACTTCACTGTGGACGGCAAAGTAGGAATCTCATTGTACAGGGAAACGTGTTTCCTTACTGTGCACATGACAATAAACAATTGAATTGAATTGAATTGAATTGATTTGATTTGAATTGAATTGAAAAGTCTCCATAGTCATCTTGACAACATAAACACTGCTTTCACCTCAACGGAAATTCCACCTCAGCTTTCATTTGATTGGAAAATGAAAAAGACGCGACTGACATAGTATGATTTTTCTGCTCAGAGTTGACTTGTTTTTCAACTGCAAGCATATAGTGCACAAGTGCAAAAACGCGAGGCGCAGCAGATGGTTAAAACGCGAGCCATTGAGGGAGCATAAGCAGCGCACAAAACAATCGCAGATGCTAGTAAATCATTTTTAAAAACATGCCTCTCAGTTTGTTGGGATGGGCCCCTTATGCTGCATTCACACCAAACGGGGAATTAAGTATTTTGGTAAGTGAATTGCATGCAAGTCAATGCAAATTACCGTCCTGTGGTGCGATTGACACAGAATATGTAATGCATTTTCCACAAACATGAAGAAATTTTCCTCATTCTCGCGTCTTCCACATATGATATGAACACAGCCATGTTGGCCAATCAGAAAGGAGAAAGCAGCGTGCATGCTGAATTCATAAGGTTTTGGAAAATCTTCACCCTGGCCGGAGTTTTCAGAAAGTTTTGGTTTCAGTCAAACAGCAAAACCGTGCAGAAAAACAGTTTGATTTTTATGTGGACAGAGCGAAAACAGCGATGTCAATGCTCATGCATATTACTGTACATGTTTAGTCTATAAGCACAAGTACTTAAAAGAAAATGCTGGACTACAAGACAGTATGTGTGCAGGTGTGCAGTGACATTGTCACCTAATGGCCTGGCATGCATAATACAGCATTAACAGCGTTTCTTTACACAAAAATGTTCTTTATTATGGTAAAAGATGGTATTTTACATAATATCTGAATGATAAAATATGACTTTATTAACAATGACTTTATTAACTTTTCTCTGTGTCTGTTTTTCTTAAGTTTGACAATTATTTCCTGGAAATGTGCTATTTAGACTATGACTAGACTAGCACTACTTTTACAGTATGTAGCTTCTTTATTGATGTTAATGTGTTCACCTTGGCCACTGTTAACCTTTGACCCAGTCGCTGCTCATAGGTCTCTATAACACACATTATGTGCCGGCAGCGGGCCACAAGAGAAACAATAGCAAAGTCTGTGTCAGCAAGATTACTCACTCAGAATGCAACAAAAGAGTTAGTGTCTGACTTACTGATGACAGGAAAGTCCTGATACAATACTAACACCTCTGTGGACTCACAAACCAGTGGGAACAAACATAGCATGTCAGAACTTTTCATTCCAGATTCACTCGATGTTGCTCAACGTGATGTTCATAACAGTCTGTTACACATCCTAATGTGGAAACGCTGTCATCAAAAAAACAATTTCACAAGTGGAACTTGGCATGACTTCTTGCCTAATCACATTCTGTTGTTTTCCCCCCATTAAATGTGATATTAGTCATGTCATGTTCCCCAGAAAAACAAACAAACAAAAAACTATCATCTTCTTGCTTGAACTGAAAGAGCTGCTGGACTCTTATGTGTGTGTGCTGTTTTAAATCCTACCAGGCGGTGTGCAGTTTTTATCAGCATTGGGCCCAAGCTGCACTTCATCAGTGTAGTTGCTGTCAATGTCGAAGTCCTGCAGCAGCCTGCGACTCTCCCACTTCTTACTGTCTTCAGCTGAGAGACTGGGGATGCCATAACCTGCAAGGAACAAAGAAAACACATAACCTTTAACAGTGGACAGATTAATCTACAGCAGAGTTATTAGTATTAAATATTTTTCAAACACAAGTAAACACTTTATTAATATATTAAGATAAAGACTTTCTTAAGTGATGTTTATGGCATCTGTCAATATAATTTGTACATAATTTATATTACTTTAAATATTTATACAGATAAAGTCAAAATTATTAGCCCCCCTGAATAATTCCCTGTTTATTTTTCCCCTAATTTCTGTTTAACGGAGAGATTTTTTTCAACACATTTCTAAACATAATAGTTTTAATAACTCGTTTCTAATAACTGATTTATTTTATCTTTCCTATAATTACAGTAAATAATATTTACTAGATATTTTTCAAGACACTTCTGTTCAGCTTAAAGTGACATTTAAAGGCTTAACGTGGTTAATTGGGTTAACTGGGCAGGTTAAAATTAATAAAATTAAAAAACTGCTTTTACTCTAGCCAAAATAAAATATAAGACTTTTTCCAGAAGAAAAAACATTTAGACATACTGTGAAAATTTCCTTGCTCTGTTAAACATAATTTGGGAAATATTTATTAAAGAAAAAAATTCTTAAGGGGGGCTAATAATTCTGACTTTAACAGTACTACTGTTGACTACTGCCCAGGTTAATTTTTTGTTGTTTTTACTCTTATTTACTATAATATTTTAAAATGTATTTATTCCTTTAATTATATTATTCCTTTTTTTTTTTTACAAAACCAAGTGACACTTCTTTTTATCACTATTGCTGCTTTTTGATTTTGGTTAAAAAGTGATTTCTTGATTTTTCAGGAACCCAAATAGATTTTTTCTTGTAACTTAATACTGTTTTAATGCTGAACAAATTTGATTAAAAGAAATGTAACGATGAAGAAAAAACTTACCGACACAACATTTTGAAGTTTGGCATATAAATTAATATAAAATGTAAATAAGATTAAAACATTGCCAAACTTCGTCCCATGCTGCCCTTTTCTGTAGCTGAAAAATTAACACATTTTCATTTTTCTGTATTGACTATTGTAATACTTTGCAAGAGAGCACATAACTCCTATTTAAAAAATAAATAAATAAATAAAACTGCACTGGCCTCCTGCTGCTTTACGGCTAAAATCTATGGGAGATCGGGTATTCTCTTCATTGGCACCTAAATTGTGGAACTCTTTACCCTTTGATATTCCCACCGCTTATTTTTATCTTCACTTAAAACATACTTTTTAGGGTAGCTTTTATTTCATTTTTAGATCTATTATTTTTATTTTATGTTTTTAATTATTATTTTTTTATTATTATTATATTTTTTTGCATTCGTCCTTGCATGTATGTTTTACTGCTGCACATTTTATATTTTTGTAAAGTGCATTGAGATGCTGTTTTTAAAGGCGCTATAAAATAAAGTTTATTAATATTACTATTAATAATGATAATTGATATATTATTATTATTATTATTATTATTATTATTATTATAGTATAATAGTCTAGAAGCAGTAACCAAGTGATCAAGTCTGATTTACACATGTTCCCTAGCAAACTTGAATAAACATATTGCAAATGCTGAGTGATATCCATGGTGACTCTGTAACCAAGCATTTTTCTGGGATATACTAAAACCTACAATTTACAAACAACAAAGGTGGAATAAGAAAGAGTTATTTTGTGTAAAGAAAATAATTTTCACAGGACAAATACACAGCACTCATCATTTACATACGGCGTTCTCCTAAAGTTCCCTTTTGGTTTCCAATTTGATAAATTTTGTGGAACCAAATAAGAATGTTCTGTAGGTTATTGAATGAAAATTATTGAATAAAATGTTGCTTGTAGGTTTTTTCTGCAATCAAAAACCTTCCCAGAACATTACACAGAGTTGTAAAATACTTTGAGATATTTTTTTTTATCTCAAATGCTTAAAAAAATCAAGTTTCACCAATTACTTAAAGAAGACTTTCCTGGCTAACCAACAGAAAACATTCGGAAAGACTCTTGGAGCCAAAATTCTTTGGGTGAAATCTACTGAAGCCCATTGAAGATGCATGTAACTTGAATGTCAAAGTAAGAAATGCAAATGTTTAACACACACTAACATCATCAACACAGCACAGAGTCTCATCGTCACTGATCTAACTTGGGCTTTTCGCAAAAGTTGTTTTGGCCAGGATTGACCAGTCCAGCTCAGTCTTACTGTGTGATATCTCCTATTCGCACTGCATTCACAGGGACACAGTGAGCCAGAATATGTGTTACATACTGTTAAAATCTCACAGGCTCCACTCCTCATTTGTGTTACCGTGAGCAACAGAGGCCCGGAAGTCAGCTGGCAAATATTCATGAGGGCCGTCTGTGGTGCAGGAGCGAGGCCTAGCCGTAACAAAAGTGACATCATGCGGCGAACGTTCCCGCAGCAGAGCCACGGTCCGGGCTTGTCTGGTCTGGGAGGGGGTGATTATTCTGGCAGCACTGTCATCTGGGTCGCTCTGTCCTCAAGCGCCTCTGCCCTTACGCCACTCCGCTCCACCGTCTTCCAGCGCGACTCTTTCCAGAGCGCTGGCCCCCACTTACCGCTCCACTCTCTATAAATAAAACCTCTATATTTATCAAAAAAAAAAAAAAAAAAAACAGCACTCAGGATGGAGCTTCGGGGCTGCGTGGTGCATTATGACGTGACGCATTTTGACATTGTGATGTGATGCGAATGGTGATACAGAACTGGGATCTGGTTGTGAGAGTGTCGGAACACACTGTTCTTCATCTTTTTTTTGTGGCTGATAGGAAACTTGAGTTTGTCTTCATCAACAAAAAGGAAAAATAAAAAAATATCGGATAGTGGCACTGTCATTCCTGGTGGAAACTGTTTAATAATTCATCGCCCCTGAGATGTCAAAAGAATCATGCGGTGAAGTGAAGGAAGTTGTGACACTATTGGCAAAATATGACACCTTAGTGTCTTCCTCATAGTAAAGAGACAGCAGCAATCTGTCCAGGACACGAGAGACAAGAAAAAGCACAAAAACCTTTCACTAAAAACGAATTGTGCCGCTTATTTGACTGTGGTGCCTCTGTTGTCTCAGCATAGGGTTCACTAAAGGATTTATGTAAATTAGGTAGCGGTGCAAATGTGCTCACAAAATCTATGCTAAATGTAATTTTCACACCACAATTTTGGATATTGCAGGCTAGTTTTGAGTGTTTGGTTGCTGAGGATGCAGAATCATTCAAGTCTCTTTGGCACTATTTACGCCTGGTGTTAGGATGCCTTTAGTTTATTCTGATATCAAGTAGACAAGGGAGACACATAACACTTAACTATGACTGGGATTTCTCTTTTTTTGATCACTTTCTTTTGAAGGAAGGTCTATATGTGGGTGCATGTTTTGCCTTTTTTCCAATGTTTCAGTCTAACACTGCAAAATTATCTTAAATGAGTGGCACGGTGGCAGAAAGTTGCTAGTTCGAGTCAACGCTTGGTCAGATTGCATTTCTGTCTGGAGCTTGCGTGTTTACCCCGTGTTCATGTGGGTTTCCTCTGGGTGCTCCCATTTCCTCCACAGTCCAACAACATTCGCTGTAGGTGAATTGAAAAAACTAAATAGGCCATAGTATATGAGTGTGTGTGAATGAGAGAGTGTATAGGTGTTTCCCAGCACTGGGTTGTCACCGGAAGGGCATCTGCTGCGTAAAACATATGATGGAATAGCTGTCAGTTCATTCTGCTGTGGTGACCCTTGATAAATAAGGGAGTAAGCCGAAGTAAAGTGAATGAATGAATGTTTTTGGTAAACATGTTTACACTTAACAATAGTAAAGTAATAGATACAATACTATAGTAAATATTAAAGCAGAAATATGAATTTAATGCAGTATGTTTTTTGTTTTTAAAAGATGTCTAATAGGCGTCTAAGCATTGTCGTCTTGCCTAAAACAAGACTAAATTTGGGCTGTGAGTGAAAATCTATTAGACGTTTTAGAATAGGCCAAAACTACACTATTCGTCAAATAAACAGAAATAAATGATTACACATATAAAGTCAGTCTACTCTGTCTATTTAAGGATTAGTCTAATTTTGGGCTTAGATGTCTATTAGATTTTTACTGACAGCCCAAGTTTAGCCTTGTTTTAGCCAAACTGTCTACGTTTAGATATCTTTAGACGTTTATTAAACACAAAATTGATTGCTGAATAGTTTGTGATGCAAGCAAAAATAAATATTTTATTTAATTTCCATTATTTATGATGAGTTCCTAATCCTAGTACAGCATTTACAGTTTTAACATAATTAAACAGTAGTCTACATTCAAACCTTAAACTTAAATGTCAATCTTTTAATTGAACTCATATAACAAATAAATTAAAACATATTTAAAATAATCTCGTCACCATAGAGTTATAAGGTTTATATAGAATTTTAAGGACATTTTTTGTCAAAAATTAGTTACTGACATATTCTTATTAAGTGATAACATATTTGCATTATGGTATGTTTTTTATGTTGTTTACATTTTGAAACTTTTTCATTTAAAAAAAACAAACAAATGCTACACATATTCTGTTTGCTATATGGAAATCAAAAAGTTTGAAGCTCAATATCTCAAAATCATTGAGAACGCAGATAGAACCTTATAATTCTAAGGTGACGATCTGTCTTAACTAATTAAACCACTTGTGATCTGATCACTGAAAATGCATCCTATCAAACTGTAACATGCACCTATTAAAGTACAGATTATTGCTTATCAAACTAAACGGTTAAAGATTGAAATCTCAAAAACAGATATTTCAGATATTTCAATACACTTTAACATCAGGAGAAAGGCCAAGGTCAAAGTCAACTTTGCTTATATAGCACCTTAAAACAACATGAATATTGACCACAATATATGCCACAATGAAATAAATAATTAAAGAAAGAAAGAAAGAATAAAAATAATTAAAGAAAGAAAGAAAGAAAGAAAGAAAGAAAATATTAATAT